CCCCCCCCCCCCGTGCATTAGTTTGATTTTGGAACATACACATCAAAGCCAGTTTGCTACTAAGCATTCAGTTCTGAAACCGACTGGAATAGATATTCTAATGGTGCCATAGTTGTTGTGAATAACATTATTGATTGTCTGCTGCCACTGGCACATACAGTTTGTTGCTATGGTTTGTTCAACATTGGTGAAATAAAAGTAATTCAAGGATCATGATCCACTTTGTTTAACTATTAACATAAGAAAAATAGGTCACATTTTAGATTGTTCATTGCTACTGCAATATAATGGCCAAAAGACTGAGCTGTAACTCATAAAGTCACTGACTCAAATGTCACATCTGCCATCAGTGCACTGGAGGCTCTAGGTACTCTCTCTCCCAGCCTCAGTTACCCAATCTGTATTGTAATGGATAATACTCCTGATTGATATTGTCAGGATTACAATTAGGTGATACATGCTAGGTGCTTTGAACATCTAAGAATATTATAGAAATGTTAAATTATATTCCTGTGCTCCAAATCTAACACCTGTTTCCATATATGTTGTCCTAAGAATTCATTTGCCTGGCCATCTGCAAACATCAGTATTCTGTTTTAATGAATCCTCTTGGTGCTACCTAGTGTAACATGCCAGAGCAGGTCAGTGCTACTGTGAAGTCATGCAGCTGTAGGAATGCAACAGTGAGAGCAGGAATGCCATCCTTAATATAGAGGGGAAGCAGGAGGAATTTTGTTAGCTCACCATTTCTGCTTGAATATACATGGGTAGCATTTAAAAGTGAGAAGTTGCTCCAGTGGATGTTAGAAAGATACCATTCCATCTGTGCTCTTAGATGCATTGTGACATCCCAGGTTCATCCTTAAGGAATGTCTGTGCTTCAGTGATACAGAATTCAAGAAGATGGAATGTAAAAAGAAACAGTTTGGTTTTCCCAGTTGTTCACATCTGGATTATCATGAATTCATTTGCACTAGTATTCACTTTAACCTTCAGTTTAATATTCCCACATGAAAGGAAATGTTCTAGGAGTTTGTGTGGATGCTTTTTACAAAAACCTATACTAT